AAGGAAGGCAAAAAGGAAGAAGGAAGGAAGGAAGGAAAGAAGGAAGGAAGGAAGGAAGGAAGGAAGGAAGGAAGGAAGGAAGGAAGGAAGGAAGGCAGGCAGGCAGGCAGGCAGGCAGGCAGGCAGGCTGTAATCTTAGCTACTCAAGAGGCAGAGATCTGAGGACCACTGTTCAAAGCCAGCCCAGGGAAAGAAAGTCCATTAAACTCATATCTCCAATCAACCACCAGAAAAAAAAAATGGGAAGTGGCTCACCTTGAGCTGAAGAGCTCAGGGACAGTGCCCAGCCCAGAGTTCAACCCCACGACTGACAAAATAACAACAACAAAAACTGCATTGTGCATCTTCCCACCTCCCCTCTTTGTGTCCACTCACCCCCTGGAGAGACTCCTGGCCTTCCCTTCCCCACATCCGGGCTTCACCTGCTCTTCCCTTTGCCTGGAGCACCATTCCCCACTCTTCACTCATTCCCACCTTCCAGCTCCAATCCTGGCATTGCTGCAGACTCTTCACCCACCCAACCAAGGGGATCCCCAAAATCTCTCCTCACCCTGTACATGTCCCCTGTAGCATCTGACATAACCATTTGCTTTCCAGTTTGCCAACCCCTCCATTATCTTCTCCCCAGTCATTAAAACCACGACGACCACGGGGCATTCCAGACTCATTCATACTTAGTGGAAAGTTATGAAAGGGAAAATTTGAGTATCACCCCCCCCAAAAAAAAACCATAAAACCAGGTTGGGGGGGTATTGAAGATACCAAGAGATCCTCCAGGGTGCCGAATGACTGGTGACCGGAGGGCAGAGCTACCTGATGGAAGGGAAAGGGGAGCTGGTAGGTGGGGGAGCAGGTGACAAGTTGGGGTCCTAGTCTCCAGGGGACAGATAGAACCGTCTGCCTCAGCTGCCAGTGATGAGGCTCAGCCCGGAGACTGGGCCCTTTCTGATCTAATCTGGCGAAGCAGGCTTTTCTTCAAGTCCAGAGTACCGGGAGAGGGGGAAGCCATGTGTGTTGTCAGAGCTGGGGCGGGGCCTCTGGGCTCAAGCTCCCAGAGTCAGGAGAGATGCACAGGGAGATGGAAGGCACGGCTGCCTGAAGATTGGTCCTTGCTCTGGGTCCTACCACACAGCTTGCCCACAGGGGATAAAAAAAACCCCTCATGTTTGGAAACCACAGATGCTCCGTTTCCCAATGTTAAACCCCATAACTAAAAAAAAAGGATCTTGTCCTCTGCAAACTTCCTTCCCATCCAGCCGGCCCCCTGCCGCCTCTGCCCCTTTCCAGTAAGCCCTTTCCAGGGCTTCTGCCATGTCAGGGCCTGTGGCCTCTGGCCGGAGGATCAGCTCAGCTCCCTTCCCATCCTGGCTGTGGTGTGCTGGGGTTGCTTCCAGGTCAGCTGGCCCTTTCTGTGACAGCTTCCACTTAAATACAGTTTTCATTTTCTTTTGTCCTCCTCTCCCCCCCCACCTGCCCCAAGAAGTGATAAACAGCTGCAGGTGCTCTGCAAAGCCCCCCCATGAGGAGACGCTCTTGAGGCCTGGTAAAATAAACTGCTTGCGAACACCTTTGATACACGGCAGAACTGCACATATTGGCACTGGTCTGTTCAGTTCATGGCAGTGCTGTTCTAGAGAGATGAGAAAAAGAGGTGGGGGGGGGGGAGGAAATCTATGGGATTCACTCACAGATGCTGGAAGAGTCCCTGGTGTAAAAAGGGCAGGTGCTAGTGTACTTTCTTCCCTCTCTTCCCCCCTTCTCCCCTTCCTCCTTCCCCCTTCCACTCCCTTTCCCCTTATTAGTACCGGGGCTTGAATTCAGGGCCTCTAGCAATCACTTAGCTTTTTCTGCTCATGGCTGGTGCTCCATCAATTGAGCCATACCTCTACTTCCAGCCATTAACTGGTTAATTGGAGATAAAAGTCTCTTGGATTTATCTGCCTGGGCTAGCTTTAGACCACCATCCTGATCCTAAGATCTCAGCCTCCTGAGAAACTAGAATCGCAGGTGTGAGCTACCAGTGGTTGGTTTTCTTTTACTTTTGACATAGTCTTTCCTACTGTCCAGGACCCTGTTAGCTTTATCCACCCAACAGTGGCTCACCCTTACTTGTTCCTTCTTAGAAAGACACAGGTAGCAATTACTTGTTTCTGTCCTTCATCTCTGTCTCCAATCACTATTTCGTTAAAGATATCTGATTGTTTGGGCCAGTTTCTGCCCCGGGGAAGCTGGGGAGCCCCTGGGCCCTATTTCAAAAGACCCACTTGGAAATTCTGGACATGTTTTGAAACTCCACGTAATTCTCTGGGATTACAGAGGTTTATAAACTGCATTCCACATTTCTCCCTTGGTATTCTTGAATACTTGCAATATGTCAAAGGGACCAGATTTCTCTTTCTCCAGATATTAAACATGGAAGAAAACTCTAGGGGAGAGGAATAAAGATGCTCAATCTGCTTTCCCTTTTACAATCTCCTGAGACTACTGGACACGACTGTTTTTGTAATAGGGCACAGATATAATTGAAGTCTTTTCCCCTCTTATTTTTTTAAAGATCTTTTATAAGCTGGGCCCTGGTGGTTCACTCATGTAATCCTAGCTACTTAGGAGGCTGAGATCTGGGGATTAATTGGAGATAAGATTATTGCCGACTTTCCTACCCAGTCTGCACTTCAACCGAGATTCTCAGATCTCAGCCTGAGCAGCTGAGATGACAGGCTGGAGCCATCTGTGCCCTGCTTCACCTGCTTGCTTAGAAGTTCTCTGTCATCTTTAATCTACTCTTGTCAGAATTTAGCGTTTTCTTACCCCTGTACTCACTGATAGTATTTATTTGTGTTCTTGTTGATTGCTTCTTTCTCCAAAATCTAAATCCAAGATGGTGAAACCCTGTTCTGGCTCTCAGTTCCCAACCCCGGGAGCCTTCTGTGAGGGCAGAAGGGCACACAGCAAGAATGCAAGGAATGAATCTTTGTGTATCTGTCTCCCTAACTGTTCTCTAAGTTCAGAGCAGAACCTGGTTTTAGCCTGTATCTGAAATCTGAGAATGACTGAAGCCAGAGCCCCTGGGCTGGATTACCTGTTATTATCTTTGAATGTGAAGATTCAGAGGCGTCTAAGTGGAATTAGGCCTCAAGGGTCTTCATTTCAATCAGTCTCTTTGGGTTTGTTTTGACTGGAAATCCTACTGCATTTCATCTCCATCAGGAAATCTCATTGGAATGATATTAGCCTCACACATCAGGAAAATAAAATCTTCTAAGAAGACTTTTCTGTTCTCCAGATTGGCTTTGGAGATAAGCAGTTAAGTCCACTCAGAAAGTATCATCAGCCACTGCTGAGATATTGGGCCAGGAGCTATTGGCAGAGGTCTCTCGAGAAATAATAAAATAAGAAATAACGCTGAGCAGGGTAAAGCTGAGCAGAATTCAAAAGAAGGGAAAAAGACTGTTTCTGAGCTGGGTGTTGGTAGTTCCTCTCTGTAATCCTGAGAACAGGAGGACTGCAGTTCAAGGCCAACCCAGGTAGGTGGACTGCAGTTCAGGTATGGGCTTGGGCAAGAAGCCTGACTTCATCTCAAAAATAACCAACAAAAAGCAGGGCTGAAATCATGGCTCAGCAGTAGAGCCTGTGCCTATGAACTAAGAGCCCTGAGCTCAAATCCTAATATTGAAAAAAAAAACAACAACAACAAATAAAAAGACTGTGTCTGGCTTTGTTTCAAAGACCTGAGGGATAACCTGTTGGGCTGATTAGCCGGGGAGTAGTGGTGCTCCCTGATGGTCTTGTTCTCTATCTTTTGGTCTGGCCTTTTCCAGGGTAAACCTAATAAACCACACTGGGGAAACCACATAATAGTAAGCCTCGTAAGGTGGTGAGGTTAGCAAGGAAGTGACAAATGGTGGAAAGTGGTTCATGCCTATAATCCTCGCTACCCAAGAGGCTGAGAGCTAAAGATCATAGTTTGAAACCAGCCTGAACAGGCAAAGATCCATGAGACTTGAGACTCTTAACCTCCAACTAACCAGCAAAAAGCTTGCCTAGAGGTGTGGCTCAAATAGTAGAACACCAACCATGAGTGAAACAAAGCTGAGCCACGCTGGGCTGATGCCTATAATCCTATCTACTCAGAAGGCTAATAACTGAGGATCATGGTTCAAAGCCAGCCTGGACAAACAAGCCCATGAGACTTATCTCTAATTAACTAGAAAAAAAAAAAAGTGGGGGGAAAAAAGACATAAATTAAGCGGTGGCTCCAGTGGTAGAGTTGCTAGCCTTGAATAGAAAAAGCTAAGGGACAGCGCCCAGACCCTGAACTCATGCCTCAGTACCAGCACACACTGACAGCTTTGAAACGGCAGCTAAGCATGTGTCTTCTTCGTCCTCCCCAACCCCAGCACCACTGTGCTTTCAAGCTCTGGTCTCCTTCTGTTTTTCAGAGGTGTGAACATGTACGCCATGTTGACTGGGACCCTCCCTTTCACAGTGGAGCCTTTCAGCCTGAGGGCTCTGTACCAGAAGATGGTGGATAAAGAAATGAACCCCCTCCCCACCCAGCTCTCCACAGGTGAGCCCCTGCTATTCGGGGTTTGGGATTTCAGGGCCTTTGTGCCGATGCCTTTGGGGCCAGTTAGGAAGCAGAATTTTGTTTGGCCAATGTTGTCACCACTGTCACAGCTGTACATTTCTTCCTGCTGTTAAGTCGCAGGTGGCTTTCCACCTCTACGCATCCCTGCCAGTCCGCTCACCTGCTCCTTTCCTTTTCCATTGTAACTCTGAAGCGCTGACCTGCTCCTTTTGCACCAAATGCAGAGAGGATCTTCTGCCCACTTGGAAGATAACTTGTTTTAAAACTCACTCTTTTCCAGTGTTGGCTTAGGGAAGGTTTTTAATCACATGATGTCTTGAGTTAATTCCCTGTGACGTTTCATTCCAAGTTGGGCCTGTGATTTGTTCTATGAGTTTTGGAGCCTCTCCTAAAGCTTTTAAAGGTACATAGGTTTAGTTGCTTTGTGAGACTCAATTATCAGGTGTGTTTGCAAAGTCCTTTCCAACTTTTATCGGCTTCACATTCCATACTAAGGTTTGGTTTCAGATCCAGGAAAATACTAGAATTTGATCTTTTGTTTGGTTCACAGATCGTCTCAGGACTCAGCTCTGAGGCTCATTAATTCTCCCTTAAAAGAAGCCCAGCTTCTCTGAGCGGAGGCTTGATTTCCTCCCCCACCCCCTAAAAAAGAGGAGAATTATTTAATTTCAGCTAATGATTCGTGGTTTAAAATGCAGTATTTTCTTTGACTACTGTTAGATCTCCTCCTCCCCTCCCCCAGTCAATACTTGCCAATGGAATTTAAGCTGGAATGAGTCTCATATGTAAATATCTAATTCTGGCCATGCTGTTACCTCTGTGAAGGAGCAAGATACTGTGGAGGTCAGAGGAAGGAGACACGGTAACCTCGGTGAGATAAGCTAGAGTTGGTGTCCTGAAAGAACTGCTCAATCACAGAGACATGTAACGCTCAGAATTAGAATTGTGCAAAATGTTGATGGAGTTGTTATATTGAGGCTAGACCTATCACAGTTATTAAAAGCGCTGTAACAGGTGAAGAGCTCATTTTCATTCACGCACTCATCCATCCATTCCATATTTTACATCTGATCATTTATTCCATGAACAACCAGTCATGTGCTAAGCGTGTTCTAGGTCCAGATGCAATCTGTGGAGCTTATAATCAGTGGAGGACACAAAAATACAAATGTACCTGATAGTTGGTAGTGTAAGTATGCTAAACTGAACAAAATAAAAAATAACGTAAGTTGGGATACTGAAAGTACACGTGGTGTTTTGTTTTAATAAGTAAGACTTTTTTTTTTTGGTCATGTGTGATAGCACATACTTTAATACCAGTATTTGGGAGGCTGAAATAGGAAGATTGAGAATTGGAGGTCAGCCTGTGCTATAGTTAGACCTTGTCAAAAGTCAACAGAGAGGTTGGCGGCATGGCTCAATTAGTAGAGTGCTAGCCAGTGAGCGAAAATGTCAGGTACTGAATTTGAATGCCAATCTTGGACCAAAAAAGAAAAGAAAAGAAAGAGAGAGAGAGAGAGAGAAAAGAAAAGGAGTCAACAGAACGAAACAGTAGCAGAAAAGCTGACTAAAAAGACTCATGGTGACATTTTTGTCCCACGCAGTTGTAGCAGATAATGAGGGGGAGCCCATGTATCCTTCACCCAGTTTTCTCTAGAAATAATATGTGTCTAGAGTTTGGTGTCACCATCAGGAAATTAAAGTTGGCAGAAACCCATGTGTGTGTTGGTGTGTATTTAGTAGCACGTGTTTCTGTCAGGTGTTGGTTTGTGGTGGTCATGTAGCATTCCTCTACATTCAGATCCACCTTCTTTCTCTCCACCCTCTGTAACCCCTTCCCAACCACCTGCCTGGACGCCATCTCTATAACATCTTCAAAATGAGAAAGTGATGGAGAACATACATAATAAATGTGTTTCACTCACTGTAACACTTTTGAGATCCATCCAAGCTGTTGTGCGTGTTAGGACTTTTATCTCTTTTCTATTGCTGAGTAGTATTCTCCAGTGTGGCTGTCCCACAGCTTGTTCACCACTGGTTCATCCATTGAAGGGTCTTTTGTTTTCCCCATTTAGGGCTGACGAGAATGAAGCTGCAGTGAACATTCGCGTACACATGTTTGTATGAACATGGTTTTATTTCTCTGAGACACATTGCCAGAGAATGAAATTGCTGGGTCAGATAGTAAGCACACATGTAGTTGTACAGGAAGCTTCCATACTCTTGTTCAGAGTGGCTGTACCATTTTGGGGTCCCTTTGGCAAAGTCCAATGGTCACACATATTTCTGTCTCTCAGAATAATTCTGAAGCTTCTCGGATGGTTCAAACCCTGCCTTGTCCTAAATGAGCCATAACATAGGACGATAGGATGTTGGCATCTTGTGTCTGAAAAAAGGCAAACAGAGCTCACCCTGAATTTTACTGAGACCCAACGGCGCTAGCAGGTTGCTGATCTTCTGCCTTCTTCTTGGGTTCTTCAGGATGAGCTAGGTTACGCCGCAGTAACAGTCCACCCCAGTTCTCAGTGGTTTGAAACCACCAAGATTTGCTTCTCACTCAACCACGTATTTACAAGGAACTGGATCAGGGAGTGAAAGGTTTTACTCATGCCAACGGTATGTTCCAGGCTGATAGATCAGCTGCCATTTCCAACAAGGAAGGGAAGAGAAAGAGGACGGCTCTCAGTGAAATTTCCCACAGATGCCTTCCACTGCTCCCTACTAGTTTTCCAGACATGGCTTCTTTCACGTAGCAGGGATGGTACACGCAGATCCCTCCCGTGGATCTGGAGGTGCTTGTGAGCAGAACTAGCATGAGCCACCCCCAGACAGTGGGAAGAGGAACAGGCGGTGCAGTCTGGGGTGGGCAGCCAGGCAAGACGACGGCGGTCCGTGAATAATGCACCGCACACTGCCGCATTCCTTCAGCGCCTGTTTTTACTTCCAGTGATCTCACCTCGCTTTCCTAGACTGCTAAGTGTTCCTCCACTGGGAAAATTAAATTTATCCTTAAAGAAGGAACATGTGCATGCCTTAAACTGTTTTTAAGAAAATAATCCACAGGTAATTGCACAGAAGAAATGTTAAAAATGTTCCAAGCGATTTCACCATCATTGGCGTTGGTGTCTCATTTCACATAGCTCCTGCTTTAAGTTGAGCCTTCCTGCGTGTGTGCTTGTGAAAGACCTTCACATTCCTACTAGACTTGGTGGGTTGTTGTTGTTATTATTTGACTTGTCAAGCATGAATTGCATTTCTAGATCTGACTTTTCCCTCTTCATGATCTGCCTTCGACTCCTTTAACTGTTAGGATATATAAATCTCTCTCCCCCACTAGAGCGTCAGTTCTTTGTGCCAGGTGTCAAGGGTAGTCTTTGCACATGATCAATCCATGCACCGAAGACAACATTACTGACTCAGTGGTGACCTGGGAAGGTGGCTGCCCCATTAGTTCATTTGACCACTAACGGTGGAGCTGGCCCCATGGGAGGATTTAGAGTTGTAGACCAGCCGCAGAGACAGCCCAGGGCAATCGTATCTTGTTCCCAGATGGAATTATTTCAGGTTTAGGGTTCATCTGTTGACTTTCTGACCACCTCCTACTTTTCCTGCACACTTTGTACCCTACTAAGTTTACCTGTTCTCCCTTCTAAGCAGCCTGGTCCACCTTTGTATTCTCTTATGATCCTATCTGCTTACCTCCAGAAATATTAGTTTCCCAGTAATAGGAGTCACTATCATTTATTGAATGACTAGGTATGGGTTTATCATGTATTATCTTGTTGTTACTCACCTGTACAAGGTAACTATCATTGCTCCCAAATTACCAAGGAGGAAAGTGAATCTCAGAGGGCTCAAATCTGTTTCTTTCCCTTTGATTATTTTATTGAGTATAGATGCAGCTCTCCCTCTCCCTGTCCCCCCACACACACATAGGATCTGAGAGTATCATCTATTACCTTTATATCTTTGCATTTTAAGTAATGCCAATCTAAATTTTAAAAAATCACTCTTACCATCTCTCTCTAACACATACCTTTATTAATGGGATGATTCTGTCACTCCTATATGTAGTCATTAAATTCATTATCGTCCATATCTTTAAGAAAGTTTTTGGGGGCTGGGAAGGTGGCTCAGTGGTAGAGCGCTTGCCTTGCATGCCTGAGGCCCTGAGTTCGATTCCTCAGCACCACATAAGCAAAAAGAAAAAA